TCATCTTCTCAGGATGATGTAGACACGTGTTCAAGCCTGCTATGATTTGTCCACTGCTGTGCTATTCTAAGCATTATTGATCACACAATCCATTAGGGCACCATTTGCCATAAATAATTCATCTCTTCAGGCATGAGCTTGTCTCTTCCACAGATGCCATCAGCAAGAATCCCCTTCAGGAGGTTTGAGCTGGAGGAAAAACAACTGCATTGCAGATGTAGTTTAAACACACAAGGCCCAGGGAGAAATAAAATAATGACTGAGCAAACCCTGTGCCTGGAGACTGCACTCTACTGGGGATGCTCTGTCAAAGAGAGAGCAGGTCTGAGGGTTTTCAGATCAGCATTGCTCTCACAGAAAGCATGCTGTCCTGACAAATAGGTGTAAGCCTAGTCTTCCTAGCTGAGGGAGTTTGTTTAGGCAATATATCAATATTTGTAGAACATACTAGAGCAGTTCTAAATGTTATAATTGCTGGGTGCTTGAGGGACAGAGGGTGGGAGAGGAGCAGGTAGCATAAGAAATAGTAGACATGGTCTTATATCTGTATAGACTTTAAAATTCTATTGGCCAAATAGGAAAGCACATGTAGTTAAGACTACAAGACCTCTGGCAAAAAACTCAAAAGAGTACAAGAACACTAGATTCTAGCTCAGATTGCTTCTACAACTTGCTGAAAGGCTGCATCACAATAACAGTGCTCAGATTTCAGGCTTTAAGCAGTTTTGGAAAGGAGGAAGAGTCAAACAGACAGAGAGGTGAGTGGGGGAAATGCTGTCACAGGGGAGGAGGATTCATATGCAAAAGTCTGCAACTGGGAGCTCACGAATCACAGATGCCAGCAAAGAGATTTCGGCTGGGCAGAGTCCATGATGTAAATCCAGAGACTAACAAATCAGGATGACAAGAGGGCTGCTTGATTATAGCATTCCCATACAACACTAGAGCCAGACGGGTTTTTTTGTAGGGTAGAGAAGATCTGGGGAAAAGTCACCTTTTCTCCCTTTCAAGTCCTTCTTTATTGAGCTTTGCAGGACTTCCCTGCTACTGTAGGCCTTGCAGATAAAAAATAGTCTTTAAGCTCGCTTAAAGGCTAGAGCCAGACGGGTTTTTTTGTAGGGTAGAGAAGATCTGGGGAAAAGTCACCTTTTCTCCCTTTCAAGTCCTTCTTTATTGAGCTTCGCAGGACTTCCCTGCTACTGTAGGCCTTGCAGATAAAAAATAGTCTTTAAGCTCGCTTAAAGCATGTTTATATGCTAACCCACTGAATAAGTCAGGAACGAGACAAGAAAACAGAGCCCACATCAGGTAGCTCAATAAAGGGAATGAATAGGGGAACCAGCTACGAATAGGTTGGGAGTGTTGAGGAGCCAACAGGAGATGAAGAGGCAGAGATTAGCAAGAGCTAGAGCTAGGAGTATGAAGGAGATGAGCCTGGACCACCCCAAGGACCCTGGAGCCATGGTGGGACCACAGAGGAGATATGGTCACTGACAGACATCACCTGAAGCAAGGAGAGAGGGGTGGAAATTCCCAACTTCTTCCCTTTCCCTACCCTCTCACCTCTGCTAGGACTTCCTAACCTGATGGGAAGCCAGTTGTTAAGGAGCCCTAAAAAGTGTAGCATGTAGGTATGAGCCGGGGAAGGGTGAAAAATGATTGACATTTCCCAGTGCAGTATTTGCAGATGACTTGCACAGAAAAGCAATGCTTGACTCTAGCAGATGGATTTATGATGGCAGAACTAAGCATAGAGTGAGGCAATATTTGGGGCAAGATTTTCTGAGTGACTGCTATGGTCTGAATGTTTGTGTCCCCCCACCAAATTCTTATGTTGAAACCTAATTCACAATATGGTGGTATTAAGAAGTGGCCTTAGGAAGTAATCCTAACCTCATGAGTGGGATTAGTGCCCAGGTAAAAGAGGCCCAAGGGAGCTGGTTCATTCCTTCCACTGAATGGAGAACACAGTAAGAAGGCGTTATCTATGAAGCAAAGAGTGAGTCCTCAGCAGACACTGAATCTGCTGGCACCTTGACCTTGGACTTCCCAGCTTCCAGAACTGTGAGCAATGAACTTATGTTGCTTATTAATTACCCAGTCTGAGGTATTTTGTTATAGCAGCCCAAATGGACTAAGATAGTGACTCTGCAACTAACCCTACCCGTTCCACCACTTGTCTTCTGGCAGAGCATACCGCACTGAAATCAGAATGGTTGTGTAGGTGAGGAGTTGCCTAGCTCTCCCTTGAGGAGTCTGAGATTCCTCCTATCATGATTGCCTAAGGTTAGCTCTGGTGGAGAATTGGCCATTTCCCGTCACGATCCAGAAATGAGAGACCTGCAGGCTCAGTGCAAGTTGAGCAGGAGCTAGTCAAAGTCTATGGTCTCTGCTTCTCTGACTCAATTCTGGAGACAAAGTCTTGTGGTTCAGAAGTGCCAGTAGACTTCCTTTCCTCAGCAAAGTCCTCTGCTGTTGTTTCTGGGACGCTCTTGTTCCTCAGAGATCTTACACACCCCAGAGGAGCATTCTTGACCTATCTAAGTCTCTTAGGTCTGATCTGAGAAACAGATTCAACTATCCACAAGTTAAATCAAGGGGATGCTGCCAAAGCATTCCAAGGCCTGGATACTGGTTTTCCCACCGTAATCCTGCCCCCAAGGAGATGCTACTTGGTAACCTTTAGGGGTTTTATGGATATCTTTACATCAGATAGTTCAAAATTATTTCAAATGATGGTCATGGTGAGGGATGATAAGAGGAGAGAGAGATTCTGTTTTGTTTTATCTCAAGAAGTTAATGTTGATATATATATATCACATTGATTTAATATAGTTCATGTAACATGAATTGATCAACCACAGAACAGATGGCTTTATGGAGACATGATTCCTACCTTTATGCCAGTTTAGTCAGGGCCAAAAAGAGGATGTCAGGTATTTGTTGGTGGCAGTGGCTGCTATAAGTCCCCGGCTGTCCAGGCAAAGCATTGCTTTCAGAGAATGGGATATGATTGCGTTGTTCGTCTGTTTGGGGCTACTGCTGCAATTCACTGATTCTTAAACAGAGCTTGATAAAATAGGCTCATTGTTAAGCCAGGCTGCTAATTGTGCTGGTAATTAAAAATTGGCAGTGCTGAGTTTGGCCCACATTCCCTACCATGAAACCTTCCAAATGAGCATTTGCCTTTCACAATGAGCAAAACACCTGCTCTGTTTCCCCAGCTCATTTTCTAGGACCTTTGGATGCCACTTAGCTGATGCTTTCATACAGCCTGGGAGGATTTCTAGTATTTCATTCAGAAAGATGAAAGCATGTGCACTGGAGAAAGCAGGGCTATATATAGCCAGGGCCGGCCGGAGGGCAACCTCCAAGAATGATCCGAGGAGCCAAGGGCACAACTGTGCGCATGGCCTCATATCACCCTCACGTCAGGTTTCTTTGATGACTCCACACTCGGTTCAGATTATCTGGCTCTGGGAGTCTGAGTGTTGATTCCTGGAGGTTGAGAACCACGTGGCAGACTGCAGCTTGCAGCCTTGTCTGTGCATGCACGCTCGTGCACGCACATCCACTCAGGGCTGACGCGTCATCCTCCTAAATTTATCCAGTTGCTGTTTCAGTGGCTCTGAGCAGTGTCTGGAGAAAAACAAAGCTGCCTCCTCCTGCTATGCAAGCTGTCTGAGCTCCAGAGATAGGCTCTACTGTCTCATTGTGTGTGTGTGTGTGTGCGTGTGTGTGTGTGTGTGCGTGTGTGTGTGTGTGTGCGTGTGTGTGTGTGTGTGCGTGTGTGTGTGTGTGTGCGTGTGTGTGTGTGTGTGCGTGTGTGTGTGTGTGTGCGTGTGTGTGTGTGTGTGCGTGTGTGTGTGTGTGTGCGTGTGTGTGTGTGTGTGCGTGTGTGTGTGTGTGTGTGTGTGTGTGTGTGCGTGTGTGTGTGTATGAGTAGGGTGGGGGACAGGCAGAGTGCCTGGGTCACTGCTGAGACACCCTCTCCCTATGCCAGCCAGTCTGGAGCTTACACTTCAGGAGCGGGCAGCTTTGGTATTCTGGACATGGCCTGCTGTCCTTGCTCACTCCCAGTTAGGTCTGATTGGGAGGGACATGATGTAAGTAGAATAAACATTTGCATGGGGAAGAGGGGCTGGCCAGGCTCTGGAGCAGGACAAAATGGCACCAATAACTACAGTAAGGAACAAGTATGTGGAAAGATATCATTGAATGTAAGAGCTGAAAGGGATTGTTGATGTGCTCTTCCCAAGACTGCTGTTTACAGGTGAGGCCAAACTGGTGACAAGTCATCCAGCACCAGTGCTGATCCTGAAGCCCTGCACTTCTGAATCCCAGCACAGTGACTTCCATGACCCGGGGCCCAGGAGCTGGAACCCCACTTCACCAGCAGGCCATTCTCCAGTAAACATCCTTCAGAATGGAAGACCCAAAGGCAGTGTGCTAAAGATCACTTACAAGTCTCTGCCCACTGATAGGTGACAGGAAGTGTGTTGGGGAAGAGTGACTGGAAAGGTGATTGCACCCTAGGTCTCTGGCTTCTGCTGGGGGTCCCTTCTAACATGTCCTTGTCACCACTCTGTCCCTGAGCCATTGCCATGTCCTACTGTGCACTCTGGCCGCCTCCTGGCACATTCTTTTACAATCACCATGTAACACTTTGTGGACAAGCACAGATTCCATAGGATGACGCATTCTAGAAAGATCTAAGTAGATATATCCAAATATATCTGGGCTTCTTTGCCATTCCTTAAAGCCTGTCACCCCATGATAATGTATGCAAGAGAAAAATAAATGCCATTCTGAATCTTAAAGAATGATAAAGATCTTTATGACAGCTCTCCATGAGCAGGGGTAAGAGACAGTCACTCAGAAGTGCCGATCACAAACTTGCTACAATTCCACTTCTCCATTCCTCTCTTCCACAAACCCCATGGCTCATGGCAGCTACTCAGATTTCTCTTCTGTCTTCCAATATTTCCAGCCCAGGCTACCTCTTCTGTCACTCCCTTCTTTCCTCTCTCGATATCCTTCTTGAATTCTACATGTTTTCTTTGCTTCCTTAGGTGGCTCTGAGCTCTTTCCTATGTAGATCAAGTTACATCTTTTCACTTTCTCCCAATTTTCTTTTGACCAGCACACCAAAGGCGCCCAAAGGCACTGGCACTGAGCAACTGAGACAACATTCTTAGAAGGGGAAGGGAGTGATTGTAAATTCTTAAATACTAATTTCTTGGTTTTTTGCTGCATGAAAAATCAAACTGGATTGATCTGAAGGTCGTAAATTCTTAAATACTAATTTCTTGGTTTTTTGCTGCATGAAAAATCAAACTGGATTGATCTTCAACTAGTTGCACTTGGTTGGGTTGCTACATTATTGAATTTTTGCAGTGCTGGAAGTAATAGAGTATTAATTAAAGACTCCTTAAATCTGATGCTTCCTTATTTCAAATAGGCTGCTGCTGCCTCTCACACGTGGGCAATAGCCAGCTCTTCCCCTTGAGAGCAACATCCTTAGGATGCCATGGGGGTGCATTCCCAGCTTCCTAACTGTTGCCAGCTGGATTCATTTCTCCTTTTTCACAAGGTTATGGTCAAATCTTAAATAAATTCCAAAGAATTTATCTCAGGAACTTTCACTCCATGAGCAATGTATCGGTGTTCCTGTTCTACTTGAGTAAGAACTCATTGCCAAAGCAGCAACCAGCATGCTCAGAGCGTTCAACACAATTTCTGGCATTGAACGGAATCTTTCTTCTCTCTCCTAGGTTCCTTCCTTGGACCATATGATAGGAACTTTCACCCTTTAGAAAGCATTGGGAAAAGAAGCGTCAGCCTCCCTGTTTATTCTTCCCTAAAGGACTAGTGGTGACTTACCTGCTTGGTGAAGTGGGAAGAACTGGGCATGAAAAACTCCGTCCTGTCTTCCCCTTCAGCTTTTTGGATCTCCCTGCCTGAGGATGGGTGTGTGTTGATCACCTCCTGCCCATGGGGGGCAATCATGATGGGGTCTGGACCCAAGCCTGCTTCTAGGGCTAGGTCTAAAAACTGAGCTCTCATTTGTTCCAGTGCAGGGACCAGTAGATGCAGATGGCACAGCTGTTTTGCTGTGTGTGTATATGCTCTGCAGAGCAACCCTCCCTTGGATGAGGTGTACCAAGTTTTAGACTCAGGGAAAAGCATTAGGGAGTCTGACTGTGGTCACAATGAAATCCTACTTCGATTCAGCTTTATCCTTAATAAAACAGATTTTTTTAAAACCTTCATTTGTCTGATTCCTCCAGTTATTTCTCAGTAGCTCTTTAGAAACCATAATACAGTCACCCACATAATGACATCTCAGTCATCAACGGACCACATATATGATGGTGGTGGGAGCAACAGACTAGATGTGTAGTAGGCTATACCTTCTGGGTTTGTGTAAGTACACTATGATGTTTACACAACCACAAAATTGCCTAACAATGCATTTTTCAGAACGTATCCCTGTCCTTAAGCAACATATGACTGTATCTGCATTCTGTTCAATCAAACTAATATTCAACTACCACTTCTCTAAATACCCCTAGGGAGGGAGCACATTAACTCATAACCCCTGTAATGAGCAAATCTACGTCATGCAATTAACATTTCCCAATCATCCACCATGAGTGAGTCTAAAGCCAAGAAAAATGGTAGGGTCTTTCTACATAAGTCATCTTAAAATACCAAGGTGAAGATGGAGATCCCAGGCCCCACCATCTAATAGACTTTCCTTTTCTTCCCGGCGATCATGGACAGGTGTTGGTAGGCAGTGCAGTGGCATATTTAAGGGGGTGGCTTAGGGTCAGACTCCTTGAGCTCATTCTTTCTCCACCCCAATCATAAGACATTGGGCTGGTTACTTAAACTCTTTCTTCCACAAATTTCTTTCCTGGGAAATTGGGACAATACCTCTCAGGATCATTGTGGGAAATAAAATGAGAAAATTGTGTAGTGATCTTTGAACAATGCCTGGCAGGTAGTAAGCCCTTCATAAATGTTAGTGATTATTAGTAGTAGTGAGAAAATATTTTTCTGCCACCAAAAAGTTTCCCTTGAGGATGCATTTTTAGAATGTGTCAATGGGAAAATGTGCTGTACTTTTAAAATAATTTTTCTGGCAAACATTTTGAGAGGAACACTTTATGTGAGAAACAATATATAGCTTTCTAGCAAATATGAATTGGGATTTACTTGTTAAAAAATAGAAATACCGTTTCTATTGCTTTCCTCACCCACACTGCCTCAGGAACATTTCTTAGTTGCTTTTACCCAAAGACACATGTCAGACCTCAGATCTAGTGACAACTGTCTCCTGAAAGTCTTGACGTGGGCCCCTAAGTGGGGGCATTTCTAATTTTGAAATGAGCTATGCGGTTCAAAAACTCCATGCTTTCTAACAAGTAGATGATTGATAAGACCTTTCTTGTTCACTGATCAAGCTTGTTATAAAAGAAAAACAGGAACTAAAAATACTCTGTGTTTGAGCTAGGGGCACTGAAAGTAAAAGGAGACCCAGATAGACATATGTGATCACATAATTATATATTTAATTGGTAGATTGTAGTAAAATTATCCTCAAATCTAGGGATTTTTGTTGTCTCATCACATAAACTTGTAATTGTTATTGCACCAGAATAGAATGCCTCTTTCCTGTTTTTTATTTTTATTTTTTTTTAATTCAAGGCACTGGCCATTATTACCATATAGGAATTTTGCAACCTACAGAACTAACAAGAAAAAAATTCATTTGAATTTTGAAGGTCACATTAGCCTTCATGTAAGTTTTCTGTAAAATTGAGATGACATTTTACATTTTAACTAAGATGGTGTAATAAATGGTGGTCATTTAGGTTCTATTCTTGTCCTCCGGTTGGAATGCCCAGGTGAGAGCCTCCTTAGGGAAACTCTGGCTGAGTCAGTCTTCCACCTTTTCATGCCAGCGAATCCTTATGTCATTTAATGGATTTGTCACAAATTGTTGCACCTCTACTGAACAAATAAACTCACAGCCACTAGTCGCTAACTGCCTGAAATCTACCCTGCAAGCAAAAAGTTATCAGGCTAGACATCTCTTTTATTGCAAATCCTCCATCTGCACCTAAGAGAAGTCTCAGACCCAAGAGCCTAAGCTAGTGTCCCGGGGGAGGTGGCCATTAAATTCAAGGCTCTCTTGCTAATTTACAAAGTAAAACCAAGAGTAAGAGCAATAAATTCAACTTTTCATGAAAGAATGAGGTCTCATTCTTTATGTCCTTTTGGGATTCCAGTGCTTCCCATGAGTGAGAATTCAACCCTGTATATCGGAAGATAGTAAAATATCCCAGGCAGATTCTCTCTCTTGTGTATGACTCTCAAGGAGACAGGGAAGAAAGAGAAGCAGATGTAAAAGTTGACAAGGAAGCTGGCCAGGTGTTCAGTGGGGACACTAGTGTCAAGAGCGATGAGAAGCTGACCTCAGACGGCAATGAGATGACCAGGGCAGAGGTGCAGCTGGGACCTGAGAGCCTGAATAACTGTGAATGCTGCTCCAGTTCTGCATGTGGTGTGGCTCTGTGGCTGCTGGCTAGTTCCCTTCCAGTTCCTTACTCTTCTGTTTATCCTTACAACAGTCCTCTACCACCAAATGGATCTGAGTCCCTTGAACCTAAAACAATCTAACACTGGGTTACACCTTCTATCAAGAATCTGAGGACTGAGTAGCAATTCAATATTCCCATGATGTATGAGGACCCCCACTTAAAGTACCTGAATGTTTGGCCCCAACATGTCCCCTGGAAAGAATTTTACATTCTCTCTCTTCAGTGAGTGAAATGATAGAAATGTAAATCTCTGCTCCACCCCTGTATGTCAATAGACATCCCTTTTCAAGGGGGTTCATTCTGGGAAGTGACCTCTTGAGTGATGGTACAAAGTAGTGGACTGTAGCTTAAATATTTTAAAAGGAAAGAGTATGACTAACAATAGCTGACATTTATTGTGTCATTCTATGAGCTCTGCATGGAATATATATCACCTATTTCAATCCTCACAATAGTCCTTTGAGACGTGTTTTAATCCTATCCCTTTTTTATATTTTAGTAACTGATTGGAGGTCACACAACTACTTACTAAGTGGTGGACTTGGGATCAAACTCAGTTTTAACCCCAGAGCTTGAGTTCCTAACCAGTGTGCTGTGATAGGAGCAAACACTCAAACACACATTTTATCTGATTTCTTGACGAGATATTTTCTGTTCTCAGTAATGTCTTCTATTATTAGGTCCAAGTAGCAGCCCACATCTTGCCCGTTTGGGAGCTCCTAAGCCACTCTGCAGTGTGCCTCCTGGGACCCCCCACTATCGTCTTATTGAACTACGGTGTTTTCTGTGCTCTACTGAAAAATCACAGGGGATAATCTTTCTCTCTCAGCACACTCTTTGAACACTTTAACCCAGATTTTTAGAAGTCTTTATTTTTACCTGGTTCTTGCTCTTTGCTTCAATTTCTAAGAAATCCCTGGCTTCAGGCCTCCCCTCCTCCCTGAAAGACTGGTAAAATGTGATTTCAATAGATAAGAGAAATAGGCCCCACATGTGCAGCAGCTTTAAGATATCAGGTTGCTGTGGCCTTTTGTGGTGGCGAAACGAAAGACTGGTAAAATGTGATTTCAATAGATAAGAGAAACAGGCCCCACATGTGCAGCAGCTTTAAGATATCAGGTTGCTGTGGCCTTTTGTGGTGGCGAAACATTTCCAAAAATAAACAAACAAATCCCACAACCAGGTCTCTAACTGTGTTTCTTCACAATGGCATCAAACAGAAGCTCTGGAAAATGTAATACATAAGGTGTCATCTCCCAGCACTTACTGCCAGCCACTTGAGGTCTCATTGGCAGAAACACTAGCAAAAACCACACACGTCTGCTATGATAATGTCAAGGACCTCTCATCAATGTGCCAGGACCAGGGCCTCAGTCAACAGAACTGCATAGGAGAAAGGCAGCGTAATTCTCTCAATTGTTCATTTTGGGGACATTTTCATTTAGATGCTTATGTGTGTTTCTCTTGATCCTTCTTACAACCTCAGTGGGAGGCCGGGTCAAAAGGAGGACGACTGTCCAAGTCAATAACTACTTCCGAGAAGGAAACCCAGGGATTTTTTTCTCTTTTAGTGACAGATTCACAAATACACTTATTCCTTAGTTGTTTGTAATGCAAATAGTAACTATTCCAGCCTGTGCGTAGAGCGCTATATGTGTTCATATAGATATATTTGCTCTACATGCATCTTTGTAAGAACACACCTTCTGCTTCTAAGAGTCAAACTGTGTCTTTGCTTTAGTGTCCTAATTGAAAAACCTGCATGTAGACTGAGAGAGATGAATACGAATTCTCAGGGAAGGGGTGGAAATAGAGAGCTACTGCATGGAAGGAATTGGTTTCAGAATCACCTGGGGGGGCCGGCCCGGTGGCGCACTGCTGCAGTGCGCCGCTTGGGAGCGCGGTGGCACTCCCACCGAGGGTTCGGATCCCACATGCGGACCGGCCACTCACTGGCTGAGTGAGGTGCGGGAGCAACACCGAGGGTTGCGATCCCGTTGCCGGTCCCGGTCCGGTATGGGCGCAACACTGAGGGTTGCGATCCGCTGCCGGTCATGAAAAAAGACAAAAAAGGAAAAAAAAAAAAAAAACAGAATCACCTGGGGGATTTACTCAACACTCCTTTCCCTTGCTGCCTCTACCACCCCACCCACTCCAGGTGGAACTAGTACCGTTGAGGGCACATTGAATCCCTCAGATGAATTGGGGTGGAAAAAATCTTGAGTCACTACAATCTAGAACATTTGCAATGAAACAATGCTAACTAGATGCCTGGGAATGGTTACTTTTGTAGCAGGTATAATTCTCAGCCCACAAATTAAGGTGTACAAACAATATTAAGTCTCTTTATTTTCTAGAAATCAACTAAATTTGACTGTGAGCCCTGACCTCTCCAGGCTCATGAGAAAATACAACCTCGGTTGTTCTCGGGGCCTCCCCTCCTTCCTCAAGGTCATG